CCTGTGACAGTCTCATTGTCACAGGTCGGCTAGAACCATGAGGGGGGGGAAAAACCCCCCCCCCCCCCCCCCTCATAGTTCTCCTTTAAGATATGAAAGGGAAATGAAATCTGGGCACCCCAGCTCCTTGCTAGTAGTAGAAAGATTTACAAAGAAGCCTCTCATTTTCTCTGATACCTGCATGCTTGAAGAGCAGCCCGGTGACTGAAGTAGAGAATAGAGAATGTTGACAAGGAACCCGCTGTGTGGATTGTGTCCATAACAGACCTCTCACCCTGTCACAGCGCCGGTAATCTGATCGCCAAACCCCTTCGCTCCTCACCTTGAGGTGACATTGTTTCTGCAGACTCGTCTCGACCTGTAACAGTCTCTATGGTATACTTGTAGCCCTCTGCAACCCCCGCGGCTTCCTAATCCTCATGCATCATCGCCGTCGTGTTCTCGTCTAAATTATACCACTCTTTTGTGGCGTGCCTACACAGACGACCATGAAAGGGCTGAATATTTAAATCCCAGTTATTGAAATATTCCTATGAACGTTACTTTTTCCTCTCTCCGGAGGAACTGAATTCATTTCTTTCCTCCCATTGTGGCATTTTTTTCAGGCACAAAAGATATGTGAGGAATGTAATGATATGCTAAACGCATGCAAAAGCTTTCAATTTCCTCCCATTCTCTTGGTTCAATGGCACCACCATAGAACTTGGTGAGCCGCCACAGAGCGTTCCAGGAAGGAACGGGCACGGCTTTGGCTGCATTTTCAGCAGGCATTTTTTAATTACCTGTTTGCTCCGGACTCGGGGATTATAAAGTCGGCTTGCTGGGAGCAAATACACAGAAGTAAATGTTACTGCAAAATCTACAGCCGTGTGAGTGACAAAATAGGGCTGGGGGCGCCACAAGGATGGAGCAGCCTGAAAACCAGGCATTTAGGGTTTGCTTTACCCACAGAGATGAATTTTTGCCTGCTGGAAAGGAACGTGCGAGACAAAAAAAAAGACCTTTGTGAGTAGAAAGGGCAAATATTCTGAAGCCACACTGAGTGTTAAAGAGGAGATCACCAGACATCAAGTGACTGTGCCAATAACATTGCACCAGTAGGCCGTAATCTTAAAGTGACATTAAAGGATACACCCCCCCCCATGTTAGTGTCAGCACTTACCTTAAATGATGTCTCTTAATTCGATCTTCCTCTTCTTTCCTGATGTTTTCATCTGTCCCTCCAGCGGTGCGGCGGCTCTCCGATCCAGCGCTGACTCCCCTCTGCTTACAGGCACTTCCGATCCAGCGGTGTCTGCATGCGGGTGCACGCGTCCATAGACTTACCTTGCGTCTCTGCTCGTATCCCGGCCGAGAATCCGAACTGCGCATGCGCCCGCCCAAAGATCCTTTGCGGCCGCACGAACAGCACTTGTCAGCAGTAGATATAGGCAAAAAAACCGGGAGGCTTTAGAACCCCTTTAAAGTCACTGTGCCAATAACAATGCACCAGTAGTTCTGCGTTAATAAAAGTGGGCAAAGAAGCCCTTAAAGGAGAACTATGGGGTTAAGGCTTTTCCCCATAGTTCTCCTTAGGGTAACGGGAGGACACAAACTAGCATCCTCCCGTCACCCTAAGCTCAGTATATAGGGAGCTGTAGCTCACTGTAGCTCGCTGTATACTGAGACGCCTCAGTATACCGCGAGCAGTGAATGAATATCCTATATAGACAGTCCCCGGGGTTACGAACAAGATAGGGACTGTCGGTTTGTTCTTAAAGGAGAACTATGGGGTCAGGGCTTTTCCCCATAGTTCTCCTTAGGGTAACGGGAGGACACAAACTAGCGTCCTCCCATCACCCTAAGCTCAGTATACCGCGAGCTACAGCTCTCAGTATACTGAGACGCCGCAGCTGAAGCGGATCCCGACAATTGTGCCGGGATCCGCCCAGCTGCGTGACTGACAGCTGGCCCTGCCTATCTAGAGGCAGAGCCAGCTGTACCCGCCCCCTCCCCCGTCCGTTCCGCCAGTCAGCGCTGGCAGATCGGAGCGGGGAGGGGGGAATCCAGCCCCTCCCCTGTCACAGCAGAGAGCCGTGACAGGATCGAGAGGTGAGCGAACGCCGGTATGTGTTTGCTCACCTCCCGATCTACTGAGCCGACCGGTGACAGTATCATTGTCACAGGTCGGCTAGAACTATGAGGTGAGTGAAAAGCACTCACCTCATAGTTCTCCTTTAAGAAGTGTAAAGCGAGGGGCGGTGTCCTTAATGTGCTACCGTTTGGAGTTAATCCTCACAATAGATATAAACAATTTCCTCACATAATAACCATTTTCAGTTACCCTAAACCTTGTCTAAGCTCAGCCAACCCCTTGTGCATGGCAAGACATAGACACCTCAGTCATATACAATGTGGCTGCCTCTCTGTTATTTGTGGAGGGGTTACCTGGGTACATCGGAGTCATTTTGACAAGCAGAGATATCTACTAGCACATTATGCTAACAGCTTTTTGGTTGCTAATGTGACTTTATACCCTAGAGACTGGTTCTCTATAATCCAAAAAAGGGAAAAAGTGCGAAACCGCTGCACAGTCTGACAGATCAAAACGTTGAGATACACCTCTCCTGATCCCATAAAGCTGCCTGGAATTGCAGAGTTGCGCCCCCGAGACCATCACTTCCCCAAAATTCTTGGATAATGAAGATGTAACGGAGATGAGGACGCTCTGGAGCGGCGGCAGCTCCCTGTAGCCCTGCGCTGATGCGCGGCCCAGAGCGGTCCTCTCAGCAGCAGTAAAGCGTTGGAAAACACAGCTTGTGGAAATGCTGACCTTGGAGTATGTGGCCGCGTTCAGCACGTCGCCGTCCTTCATCCAGATTATGGTCGCCGCTGGTTTGGCGTTGTCCGCGTGGCAGGTTAAATTCAGCGGGTCTCCGGCTCGTAGGCTTATTATCGGGCCGCCAATAATTACCGGATCATCAGGGGGAACTGTTGGGGAAAAACAAAAGAGAGGAGATGTGTCACATCAATATTGAACTCTCTCAAGTCCTTGTTTTGTTTTTAAGGCTTAAAAAGAAATCCCAGCGGCTGCTTGGCAAGGATATTGCAGGGGCCTGCATGGCGTCCGTTCCTGATTATTATTAATGTTATTATACAGGATTTATGTAGCGCCAACAGTGTACGCAGTGCTGTACAATATAAGGAGGACATTACAATCACAATACAAATCAAGACAAGATGGTACGGAGGGCCCTGCCCCTGAGGGCTTACAATCTAAAAGATGATGGAGATGGTGTAACAGCATGGACAAGAGTCAACAGCAACATCCCTATGACTAAGTATCTATTGGAACAGAGTCCCCGTACAAGCGGCTGACACTGCGGGTCCCGTAGAGTCGGGTTTGTTCATAGGTACTTATCATAAGAACTTCTCAAGGGTATTCATTAAAGGGAATCTATTTGCACAACAATCCACACTTATTCATGTACAACAGTCTACATGTATTCATGTACAAAAATATGGAGATCAGGGGTGCCGTACCTTTCCAAGAGCAATTTGCTAACCAATCGCTGGCCAGAATGAGCGAAACGCACTTTAAATATCGATTCCTCACAGGCGCAGTGCATTTGGTATCACTCCGCCTGTGACAGGAGCCGGCGCTATAGAGGAAACATCGGCTTATGCGGCTCTGCTCCCTCCACTGCCGCCTCGCTTCCTCTAGCGCCGGCTTCATTGGCACCGCTGATTCTCTCCCGCGGCTCTTCAAGTTCCCGCTTATGCCACCACCGGCACTGGGAATGGTCACAACTAGGTCTTATTTTGGGGGACATCGACGTCGAGATCCACCCAGCTACGTGAGTGACAGCTGGCTCTGCCTATCGAGAGGCAGAGCCAGCTGTACCCGCCCCCGTCTGTTCCGCCAGTCAGCGCTGGAGGATCAGAGTGGGGAGGGAGGAATCCCTGCAGGGAACCGTGAGTGACAGTCACTGCTCTCTGCAGAGACATGATCGAGAAGTGAGCGAGCGACGGTATGTGTTCACTCACTTCCCGATCTATTGAGCCGACCTGTGGCAGTTTCATCATCACAAGTCGGCTCAAACTATGAGGGTGAGTGATTTTCACCCACCTCATAGTTCTCTTTAAGCTTTAGTATTTTGAACGTCGCTGATGCAGTAAATCTGCAGTCAATGAATTCAAAACGCCCAACCTGCCTATTTTTTCAGGGTTGGTAACTCACTCTAAGTGAGGCCAGAGGATGAAAAGTGGAGCCAGGATACTAGGAAGGTTTTTTTAGTTACTTGCATGAAGAAAGAGATGAAGAACAGAGCGCTTTTAGTCGCCGGTTGTTGCCTCTGCCTAAATGCTGCTGTTTGTTACCTCTGTGACTTCAATACCCCAAGTCCATTCATTTGATATTTCATCACACTGGCGCAGTGGTTAGCGCTTCTGCCCTGCAGCACTGGGGGTCCCCGGTTTGAATTCTGGCCATGTCACTATCTGCAAGGAGTTTGCATGTTGTAACCTGTGCTGTGTGGGTTTTCTCCGAGTCCTCCGGTTTTGTCAGGAACCAGATCTGAACCCGGGGCCTCTGCTGTAGCTGGTCCTTCCTGCTGAGTCACCTTAGTACGTTGGATAGCTCCTTGCCTGATCTCCTGTCTATTCCTCATTTAAACCTAATTTCTGCTGAACTCTGAACTCCTTGCTCCTCCCCTGAACTTCCTATTTAAGCCACGCCTCTGCACTTCCTGTTTGCTAGATTATTGTGCTCATGCCATTATCTTGCTTCCTGCTCCCTCTGTGCTACAATCTACTCATACTGCTACCCGTGTACCGACCTTTGGCTGCTGATTCACCGACTACTCTCACCGTCTCCTGCTACATACCTGATACCTTTGGCTCCTGACCTCGGCTTGCTCACTGACTACGCTTCTGCCTGCTCCTATACTACTACCGTCTGCTTGTGTACTGAACTCGGCCTGTTATACCACGAATGTGCCTGCTGCTTCAGCTGCTGGACTCTGATCCCAGATCGTGACAGGTTTTCTCCCACACTCCAAAGACATGCTGGTAGCTTAATTGGCTCCTCTCTAAGTTGGCCCTCTATGTATGCATGTGAGATAGGGACCCTTAGATTGTAAGCTCCTCGAGGGCGGGGACTGATGTGAATGTGCAACTATGTAAAGTGCTGCCTAAATTGTCGGCGCTGTATAAATACCTGTAATATATAAATAAATTATGTATCCAGCCCTGGTGAAGGGACCACCATTGAGGCCAGAAACATATTGGAAAGCCCTTAAGTAAATTATGTATCCAGCCCTGATGAAGGGACCGCCATTGAGTCCAGAAACATATTGGACATTTACACAGACTCTTCTTGAACTTTTTATTGGAATACATTTAGTTTGGAACAAATGAAAACTATCCAAAAAGCGCCAGGGACAACCGCTCCTCCAAAGGATTTAGTATGGATGCATGCTGCAGGACGCTGCCCTACTTCAGCCAGGGAAACTGCAGTATCTAAAAGGAATAACTGTTCTGACGAAAGGGGGCTCGCCCCGAAAACGCGTCAACGCTGGTTACTGGCACATAGGAACTGTCCTGTCAAAACTTCCACTTGCCCTCCTGGTTCTTGGTCCTAAGGCTTTTATTCAATGACTTTTTGTGAGTATCATTGTAACTATTTGCCTGCACCTGAATAAAACTCATCTGCACTAGGGAAGGCGCCCCTCTTTTTTGTGCTTAACATTTAGATTACATTACATTTACAAGTATTTTTTGTGCTTACAATACTTTCCAGGAGAAGCGACAGTCTAAGCTAAGTTGGCAGAACCCTGTCTCTTAGCCCCCCCCCCACCCCCCAAAAAAAACCAAATACCTCTACACAGCAAGGATAAGGTCAGACGAGCTTTCTGTCTGTACAATAAACAACCACCGTCAGACTGGGTGCTGCAGGCAATGCAAACACTTCCTTTTCTCCAACTGTTTTACAGTAAACTGGCCCTAGAGAAGGTAAGACATCTGGTACCAGCAGCGAACTATAACAATTCCCCTCGTGTGTGAGGAAAAACAGCCAATTTATTCAGCAAGACTTTTCAATTAATGAGAATATTATGACATCTATAATAACAGATTAGAGATTCGGAATTCAAGGCATTGACGTGAAAACAACTCAAGCTATAGAATTTGCTAACGTTCTTAAAAAAAATTTCAATCAAATTTTATTTGACCATAAAATGTAGCGACTCTTTATTTTATCGCGGCTTTGGATCTAAACAATGCGGATTCATTACTAATTGTGTTTAATAATGTAATATACTTTTGTCACCAACATATTATTAGTGTGAAACGTGTTTCAGCATTGTTTGCTTCGTGCCAGCGAAGTCCGCCGCTCCTGAAATGAATAATACACTCGGACATCATCTTCCCGGAGACATTCAGTGCTTTGTAGCTTCATGATTGCGTTTTTTTTTTTTTTTATGAGAAGGATTTATGGTTTATACATTGTATGAGCGAACTTCGATCGTTATGTTTTCATAACCGAATAGAAAAGGTCACATAACACATTGAGGTCCGTTCACCCTTTACACATAATATAGATACAAAATAAACTTAAATAATACAGGTGAGGTATCGGTGGAAACTTTCACTATATACAATAGAGAGACACACACAGCAAGGCTGAGAACAGACACAGGCCCGGGAAGGCGATTCTTCCATGAATTCCCATAGTGGCGGCCCACCGGAAGGCGAAACAGACACCGGTTATATGCTAATGACACCAATCCTAATATGAAGCACATTCCCTCCTGGTCATAAGAGTAGCACATTCCCGGGATCAAAACATTCAAATACTATAATTCCCTTTTTATGGGAATCATCTGTGGGAATGGTTAGGTCAGAGAACACTGACCCAGTCAAGCCAGTCTCTGCACCAGAGGAGCTTACACTCTAATGTCCTCCCCACAGTCACATCAGTCTCTGTACAGAGGAGCTTACACTCTAATGTCCCCCCACAGTCACATCGGTCTCTGTACAGAGGAGCTTACACTCTAATGGCCCCCCACAGTCACACAGTATTATTATACATGTATATAACTCTGACATATACCACAGCGGTGTACAGAGAACACTGAGCAAGTCACATCAGTCTCCGTACAGAGGAGCTTACACTCTAACGTCCCCTCCACAGCCACACACTATTATTGTTATACATGTATATAGCTCTGACATATACTGCAGTGCTGTACAGAGAACACTGAGGCAGTCACATCAGTCTCTGTACAGAGGAGCTTACACTCTAATGTCCCCCCACAGTCACATCAGTCTCTGTACAGAGGAGCTTACACTCTAATGTCCCGCCACAATCACACCAGAAAATCTCTGTACAGAGGAGCTTACACTCTAATGTCCCCCCACAGTCACATCAGTCTCTGTACAGAGGAGCTTACACTCTAATGTCCCGCCACAGTCACATCAGTCTCTGTACAGAGGAGCTTACACTCTAATGCCCCCCCCCCACCCCCACAGTCACACACTATTAAGGTTAATATTGTTTATAGAGCTCTGGCTGATTGCCCATGGGATGGTCACAGGGTACCATAAACATACAATTGTTTCTCGATATGACCATCCCATGTCACAGTTGAGTCCATTTCATAGCAAATTAGATTTTCAGTTAGTGGAGTCACATCAGCTAATAGATGAATCCTGCTCGGATGAGGTTGGTTGTCGCGCAGCCCTCATGCCCCAGGCCCATTCCACCTTCTTGAGGAATAGCTTTGCTCAATTAGTAAACATGTATCTCCAGTCTCCCAAGACCCTCCACAGTCGTCACTAGATCCAAAGTGTACTAAATAATCCTCATTAGCAGGAAAATTGGGTTACAATGATTAATCCTGCAATGGTTCTTCAGAGTGACAAAACTAGGTGATCCATTCATTAGACACATTCCAGGAAGAGGGAGAAGCCTTGTTCATCTGGATGGAAAA